AGGAAGGAAGGAAGGAAGGAAGGAAGGAAGGAAGGAAGGAAGGAAGGAAGGAAAAGAAACAGGTCATTCACAAAACTTAGATCCTTTCTTTAGAATGGTGTGTGTGTGTGTGTATGTGTGTGTGTGTGTTTCCCTACTGTTTGGTGGTGGCTGACAGTTGTAATTCTAACACTTTTGAAGGCTGAGGCAGAATTACCTCAAGTTCTAGGCCAGCCTGGGCTACAGAGTCAGAACCTGACTCTCCTGCCCCACCTTCCATGCTAAAAACAAATTAAAGTAAACCCAAATCTCTTTTTAAAAGGCTGAAATCATAGCATAGGTCTGTAGTCCCAGCACTCAGAAAACTGAGGCAGAAAACATCACAACTTGGAACCTATCCTGGGCTCAAAACACAGGCTGAGAGTGTGTGCACACTCTTGTGAAAGTGCACATGGCCAGAGGAGGGCCTCACTCACGCTGTTTCCTCTGCTAAGCTGGCTTGAGCAAGCCCTAGAAATCCACCTGTTTCTGAGTCCCAGCTTATTATGTGGGTGCGGAGATCCAGTCTCTGATCCTTGCTGATTGCCCAGCCAGTGCTTTTAACCACAAAAACACCTCTCCAGCTCTCTCTCTCTCTACCTAACTTCTGACACAGGGTCTCCTACTAAATCTGCGGTGAGCTCCAGTGCCCCTCCAGCACTGGGATTGCAGACACATAGCCCCCACCATGCCTGGCTTTTTATGTATGTACTGGGGAGCTGTTCAGGTCCTAATGCTTTCTCAAGTAGCTCGACCGAATATCTAAATAGCCAAAGTGGAGCCGTGCGTTGTTTCTGAAATACTGGCCATAGCCAGGATGAAAGTGGCCAGATGGAAGCTGACTCCTAGGTAGGGCAGGGCTGTCTGGGATCATGAGTACTTGTTTCTCTAATGGAGCATGACAAGAACATTGGCTTTAAAGCCTGGCAGACTGAAGCTGTCTCTGTCTTATCCACATCAGTGAGGCTCCCGACCTAGGCTGTGAAGGATGCGGATGCATCTTCCGTGAACCCATCCAGTACAGAACCTGCCTCACAGAGCAGTTCTAGCCTAGCGCCTCGCTCAGAGGTGTCGGCTGGTGAAGGGAACACATTGGGGCCACACACCAGGGCACTATACAGGGCCCTAGCAACACAAGGCATTTTAGCCAGAGAGTCTGCAGCCAGAAGATCAGAAACAACCAAGGTCATCCATCAGACAGCTGCTGGACCTGCCAGTGTTGGGAAGTGGCCTCTCTGTCCTTAATTAGGGCCGCACTGAGGAAGCACAGGGCCATTGGTGGACAATTAAGTTTCCTGTGAGTCCAGAGCAGCTGAGACTTAAAGTACTATTGGAAAAGCTCCAGGAAATGTTCCTACATTTGCTTCTATCCTTATGACTTCTGTCTTAAAGGGAACAGAGAAATACGTAACAGCACCTCTCCCTCCTTTTCTTTTTCCATTTTTTTCTGTGTGCATGTATGTCTATGTGAGAGAGAGAGAGTGTGTGTGTGTGTGTGTGTGTGTGTGTGTGTGTGTGTGTGTGTACATGTGTTGCCCTCGCTTAGTCCTGAATCTCTGGGCTCAAGTATATACTGCCAACTCAGCTTTTATGGCATCATCTTTTAAAAAAAAATTTTTTTTTTAATTTTATTTCTGTGCGTGTCTTGCCTACCTGTGTGGAATTCACACCGGTACCACCTGATGTGGAAGTCAAAAGAGGTTTCTGAATCTCCTCGAATTGGAATTACAGGTGGTTGTGAGCTGTCATGAGGGTGCTGAGAACTGGACTTGGGCCCTCTGAAAGAGCAGCAAGTGCTTTTAGCTGCCAAGCTGTCAATCCAGCCCCTTAGGACAGCGCCTTGAGCTCCCACAAACATACGTTAGTGGCTATTTTGTTGACCCTGAATACTCATAACCTGATTCCTCATCAGGTAAATATTTACTTGCACTGAGGACTATCCAGTTCAGCAAAGCCATCCTGTACCCTGTGAACATGCTGGACCGGAAGCCTCCGGCAGCTGCCAGCCTTTATTGAGCACTTCCCATACACCCAGCACCGTTAAACATTTGGTCTCTGATAACTCACACCTCGCCACAAACCATGTGAACATAAGAACATGGAGAAGTTAAGTGATTTCAAGGTCATCCAGCAAGCAGCAGAGCCCCAACTTAGATTCATCTTCCTTCCAAGACTATGTGTACATCAGCCTTCTTTTAAAATGGTGGGCTCTTCGTTGTTGAGGTTGATCTGGAGCTACAATGCATCCAAATGTTAACTGCTTGCCCCCAAGATCCTTATTGTCCTATGAGCAAGTTCTCACATATCCAAAATGACATTGTGTAAACCTTGCCTCCCAAATTATCCCCGATTGAATAATAAAAGTTGCTGACAGCCCATAGCTGTGCAGAGAGAGAAGTGGAAGGCAGGACTTCCTGGCATGGAGAAATATGCTTATAGGACATTAAGGATCTTTTGGGGCAAGCAATTAGCATTTGAATACATAGTAGCTCCAGGTCAACACCTCATCCAACACCTCATCTCTTCTGTAATTTTATTTATATTCATTCTAAAGCCAAAGCCAGGCTTGGTGGTGCACACCTGTAATCCCAGCACTCAGGGAGGCAGAGGTAGGTGGATCACTATGAATTCAAGGCCATCCTGGTCTGCAAATGGGGTCCAGGACAGCCAGGGCTTTTTTACCCAGAGAAACCCTGTCTCGAGAAAACTTAAAAACAAAACAAACTAAAACTCCAGCAAACTGTATCTGGGATGGGGTCCCTGCTGTGTGGTCAGCTGTTTCTATGCACTCTGCCTAGCAGGTTGGCAGATCACATTACCGGACAGCCAGGGCTACACAGTGAAACCCTGTCTCTGGATGGGGTGTGGTGGGGTATAGGGGGTGGATGGAGGTGAGTGGGGATGGGGACAAGAGGAAGAAAAAGAAAAAAAGAAAAGATCAAATTGACCCTTTTGTCCTTTCCCACATATGCCTTTTGTCATTTTATTCCCCAGGGAGGTGGCTCTTATCAATAAAAAAGCAGCAGAAAAGAAAAAGGCCAACCTCACAGTCCTCTTATCCTTGGATGACTCATCTGACAAGAAACCCAAAGGAAACACCCACATCGAAACTACACTTTTAAGGTTTGTTCAAACAGAAGCCTTAGAAAATGTCCATTGTGAAGGATGTGAAAATTCTTGCCACATAGGGAAGGTACAGGTACAGGTCTGGGTCCAGAGGACACCCACGGAACTTTCCCAGTTCTCGTGTCTCAGAACAAAGAATTGGACCAGGGACACAAGGGTAGTGACAGGGACAGTCTATTAAGGAAGAAAGAAGGCCACCTCTGTGAGTGGAGGTGGGCTAGGGAGCTGGGAGAGAGCTAGGGTGAGAATCAGAGGCCTCAAATGTCTTTTGGAATCACTCACATAGCACCACCTTCTCCTTCAGCTCAAGACCTTGGGGTTTTTCTCATACACGCTCTGTCTTGTCACCTGTGGCCACAGCCAGGAGGGTTTTCCAGTCTTTCTGCCATCTGGCTTCTCTCCTCTCCTTCCTCGCCCTCTCCCCAGCCCCTTATCACTCATCTCAATGACTGCCTCCATTCCACCCTCCTAATATAACTTGTGTAACTTCTTCCTTGTAGTGTGACCCCTTTGCACTGTTAAAAAACAAAACAAAACAAAAGCACATACTGATGGTTATATATTAAGAATGTGGCTGGGCGTTGGTGGCACACACCTTTAATCCCAGCACTTGGGAGGCAGAGGCAGGCGAATCTCTTGAGTTTGAGGCCAGCCTCAAACTCAAGAGTTTCAGGACAGCCAAGGCAATACCAGGAAACCCTGTCTCACAAAAACAAACAAAAAAGAACGGTAAAATACAAAATAATAATTTTAAGGAGGAGCCCACTGATGGAAGAGATTAAAAATAAGGCAGTATGAGGTAGCATCTTCTTCCTTTTATGCATGCAATATTCTTGTCCCTTACTGGGGCTGTACATACACACACCCTTCTAGTTTTCTTCCAGCCCCATACCGAGTCTGTCTCCTTGAGGCATCTTTCTTTGTGTGCTGGTTTTTATTCTTTTATGTTAGTTGTCTCTATATTCCCAGTGACCTGGATTGTCTTTTCATAGTTTGGAACAAAGCTCCAAGAAGTTCACAGGGGAACCAGCACTTGTGGCCAAGTCTTCTCCAGCCAGTGGGATCTCTGTCTTCTTGTGGAGTATTAAAGTTACATGGCAGTTTCACAAATCACGCCATGTGACTGGTTCCCCATGGAAGGTTTTATTCAGGGAAGGGGGAGGGGTCACAGAGACTGCCTCTGGCCAGTTTTATGCCAGTTTGTGAGACCCACAAAGACTACCCGGAACTGACTCTGCTGCAAATACATGAGGGTTTATTTAATATGAGCTTGAGCCCGGGTCACAGCAACCTCCTTGGTGAAGAGGAGGAGTGTGGCAGGGCTGTCTAGGGGAACACGGCTTTTAAAGGGAAAAACCTTTAAAAACAAACAGCAGATTACATGCCTTGGTGTTACATGATTGGGTAAGGGAGATTGACTTTTGAAACGATTGGTTTACTTTAGGCACCAAGTCCATAAACAGTTCTGGCCTGGCCATCTGGGCCGGTTTCCTAGCAACTGTATCTCTAGTGGGCAGGAAAAGAATGTGGTAAGGCTAGTTCCTCCTGGCAAGTGGCCGGACATGTCTCCACCGGGCTGGCCTTCATTCAGGCTTGTGCTTTAAACCTTAAACCAATACCCCCCAAATCTAAATTCTCTCACAGGGTAGGAAAGAGAGAGAGCTAGAGGAGGTGGTGTGAGTTCTCTTATAAGTTGACCCAGAGCATGTGCAGGTGGTTTCAGGTGGTCTGCGGGTGGTCCATAGGTGGCCTCACAGATGCCTGCTATCCAGTTTGTCAGGTCACTTGGGGCTGGCTGTAGAGATGCCTGCTTACAGATCCCAGCATTCCTCCCTTTTTGTTTTATTAAAAAGTGAGGAGCTAGGAAGGGGGTGATGGTGGGGAGGACATGGGGCGACCTTTGCTCTTTAAGCTACTTCCTGCTGATTAGGGGTGTTGTCATTCACAGGGTATAGCTGTCCCCACCATCAGGGTTGATTGAAAGGTCATCGTCATCTGGTTCTGTGGGCAGAGGTTGATAATCCTGTAAGAGTAATTGATTAATGGTTTGGTTAGAGAATCTTTGCATTTGTTGTTGAATGTAGAGAAGTTAATAAAGCAGGGTGCAAAAAGCAAAAGCAGAAAGATGAGCAGAAGAGGTGTGAGGAAGGGCAGAATTCATTTCCATATAGGGATCTTGAAGGCCCAAGAGCTAGAGGCCTCGAGCTGTTCCCTTCACTTTTGTAAATTTGTCTGGAGTTGTTGGATTTTGTCTTTTACTATACCCGACTGGTTGACATAAAAACAGCTTTCCTCCTGGAGGAAGATGCGAAGGCCACCTTCTTTAGCTGTGAGGAGATCCAATCCTTGTCGGTTTTGAAGTACCACTGCTGCCAGTGAGTCAGTCTTTCTTTGGAGAGTTAGTATTGTCTGAGCCACTTGCTGGAGGGCCTGGATGAACTGGGAAGAAAGCTGATAATACAAAGTTAGTGAGGTGGCTGGTCCTGCTGTCCCGGTCACAACAGCTGCTGTGATTCCTGCAACAGCCAAGAGGGGCAAGATTTGGATTGCCCTCTTATCCTGCTGGGCAGTTATGGAGTCCATGACGGGGATTGGTAGGGGCTCCTTTTCATTTATCACTCCCAGCTCAGGGAAGAGGAGCACCAGTGTGCAAACTCCTGACCAACAAGCAGGGAGACGATGGTAGACCTGAGTACCACAAAGGTATTGTTAACAATAGGGCACTGGGGTTGAGATGAGGTATTGAGGATTATAGTTTTATTACAGTCTAAGGAACTTAGCATTCCTACAGAGTGTGTCCTGGATGCCTTGAAACAGCTTGCCATGCCAAAGAGAGTGATATGAAAAAGGTAGGGGGTTGTGGCAACATCAGAGTGAGGGCAGTTAGTGAATGGTGAAGTAAGGTTACTCGACAGAGTCACCAGAGAACAGTCAGTGGTAGTTCTGAGTTGGTCCCAGGTGGAACACACAGCCAGCAAGCTTTAAAACGACCCGGTTAGGTCACATTAAGGAGCTTGTAGGCCAAGGTCAGAGTCTGAAGTAGGAGACAAAATAACAGGTTTGTATTATTTAGGAGGGGTGATGTCAGAGAGGCAATGATCTTAGAGGAGTGTTTAATTACCTTCTCTACTTCTCGAATCCCCAGGATTGGGTAATATATCAAGTGGGATCCTATAGCTGAATGACCACAGAAGAACGGTGCCTAGTGACAGAGGGGTTTTGGACATCCCAGACTTGGGGTTCCACTTGAGAGGCTGGTAAAGGAAGCGACGTGTCACACTTGTAGGTAGAGTAGCTAGGAGAAGGAGGAGAGAGGATGTTGGTGAGCTTGGGGTCAGGCGAATGGGTGGCGTAAAGGAGATAGAGGCTCCCACTTTGGCTAAAATGTCCCTTCCCAGTAATGGAACTGGACATGTTGGCATCACTAAAAAGGAATGAGTCAAGGGAACACCCCTGAAAATACAACTGAGTGGTGAAGGCTGGCAAGGCTGTCCCCCTTCCCCAACAATGGGGGCACCAGAAGGCGAGGTTGGTCCCCAATACTCCGTCAGGACTGAATAAGTGGCCCCGGTGTCCACAAGGAAGGAGATGGGCTGCCCTGATACCATGATAATTACCCGAGGCTCCCTGCTAGTAATGGCAGTGGTCAAGTCAAGGGAATCAGGCACCTTCAGTTGTCCATCGATCCAGGAGTGATGCCCCCATATCATGGGAGAAACAGTGGCAGTCAACACCCCAATGTCCCGCCTGGTGCCTTATGGGGGTTAGGGCAAAACAGGGCCCAGTGACCTTCTTGACCACATTTGAAACAGGGACCCCATGGTCCTCATGCCTTAGGAGGCAAGGGAGCCTGGGTAGTCAATGAGGCCAGTCAGATGGCCTTGGCCAGCATTTGGTATTTTTGCTTTCGGCTTTCTCATCTCTCCCATGGTACATCTTAAAGGCCAATGCTAAGACTTCTGCCTGTGGAGTCAGAGGTCCTCTCTCCAAGCATTTAAGCTTAGCCCTGATGTTGGGGTAACTCTGGGAGGGAAAAAAAACAAAAACAAAAACAAAAAAACAGGTCATCAGGAGTTGTCTACCCTCTGTACTTTGGGGGTCTAGATTAGTATGTTGTAAAAGGGCCTCTGTAAGGCGCTCTAGGAATTGAGACAGGTTTTCATTCTTGTCCTGAATGACCTCCTGGAACTTCTCATGATTAACTAGCCTTGCGGAGACCAGCCAGAAGGCAGGTCATGAACTGATCTCTCGCTAAAATGCCTTCTGGGGTATTATAATCCCCTTGTGGATCCTGGGTGGGCACTGCCTTGGCCCCAATCAGGTGTGCTGTGGTGAACCTCAGCTGCATGCGTTCTAGCCTGTTCCCAAGCTTGCCTGCGCTCCTCAGATAATAGGTTGTTGGTAAGAATCATATATATATATATATATATATATATATATATATATATATATATAGAGAGAGAGAGAGAGAGAGAGAGAGGAAGGTAAGACTATAAGATTGAGTGAGATATTGAAATTCTTTAATTAAAGTAGAAAGATTAGAGGTATGGGATCCTGGTCTCTCTTCTACTTGAGAAAGTTCAGTTAATGGGAAGGGAACATGCACCCTAACTAAGCCACCTCCCACAAGGGAAGGATTGAGGCTGGTTTACACTGAGTAGAAGAATGGGGCTTCTCTACAGAGTGAGAGCAGGTAGCAGGGGGGCTAATAGCTGTTGGTGGGGTGAAAGTGGGTGCTAAAGCAGGATGACTAGGACAGCCTGTTGCTGGGGAGGGGAGTGAGGGTGCTGGAGAAGCCAAAGAGGAAGAGGAGGAAGTAGAGGAGAAGGGAGAAGCTGGAGGTTCATCCTCGGGGTCAAAGGTAAAGAACTCTTGAGGTTGAGACTTTATGGCTAGAAGAAGCAGTTATAAAGTAGGAGAGAACAGGAAGGACAGGAAGAACAGAGAGAAGGTTTAGAGTGGAGAAGAGAGAAAGCTTGAACATAAAATAGCTCCTTCTGTTTACCAGATCACTGACAGTAATTACAAAGATCCTGTAAAATATTGGGATTTAATGTGCAGTCAATGGGCCAATTTGAACCATTACCTAAGGAATATGTAGGCCAAGTTTTATTTCAGTGGCGTATGAACTTAGAGGCCTTTAACTCAGGCTCCATGTGCAGGGTTTTTAAAATCTCCAGAAGACATCCCAGTGGGGGTGCTGGAGGAACAGAAGAATGGGCAGTTCCCATTGGGAGGGTAGGAGTCAGTGACCTCACAGAGGCATCCCAAAGGCAAGGTTTGGCTCAGTAGATTAGTATGGTATGACCTGATCCAACAGCTCATCAGTGTTGGCCAGAGACCAAGGGCACAGCTGCCCATGGTAGACATGGTTTATCCAGCACTAGGATTTTCGTAGGTGACTTTGTGTTGGGGTCGGGGGACAAAACGGTGCCAGTAGAAGGAAAAAAATATCTCACCTAAGGGAAAAAGCAAACCCTAAATGGAGGTCAGCAAAAAGGGTCAACCGTGGCCAGTGAAGGCTGTGGTTGGGGGTTCCTCCGTATCAAAAAGTACCGGGAAGTTGCTCAATGGTCAGTCTTCCCCTACCAAGAGATATGTTTATGCTGACCAGTGAGGGGAACTCACCAATCCAGCTGGTGTCGCATGTAGGAGGTAGTTATCCAGTTGCCAGAAAGTGGGTCACAGGTGGATTTGAAATGAAATAGGTTTCCAGCAGCTCCAGCGGTGACACTGGCACCGAAAGCAACCACCACTCGCCAATGTTAGGATTCTACAGCAAATTACACGGCGAGTTCCTCGTGGGAGGTTTAATTAAGGGAAGGGGGAGGGGGTCACAGAGATAGTCTCTGGGTAAGGTAGGAGGGAGGGAAGGAAGGGGAGAGACAGGGAGGGAAGGAGGGGGAAAGGGATGGAGGGAGAGAGAGGGAGGGAAAAGGAAGAAGGAAGAGTGAGAGAGAGAGAGAGATGAGGTGGTGCGAGTTCTCTTATAAGGTGACCCAGAGCATGCACAGGTGGTTTCAGGTGGTCTGCAGGTGGTCTGTCGGTGGCCTCACAGATAGATGCTTGCTATCCGGTTTGTCAGGTCCCTAGGGGCTGGCCATAGAGATGCCTGCTTATGAATCCCAGCAGTAGGGCTATCCTCACAGAGAGGCACCTAGCCTCAGCAGCCACTTTTCTCAGGAGCATCCTGTGCCTGGGAAGGGAAGAGCTTTTTTATTTTTATTTTTCGAGGGTGGGGCTGATGCCCGGATGACTGAATTCTGGAACTGGAAAAGGGACCCTACATTCAAATAAACCACTCAATTCCCCTAATTTTATTTAGTTCTTATATCACTGCTCCTCCCCTTTTTTTTCCGAGACAGGGTTTCTCTGTGTAGTCTTGACTGTCTTAGACTCACTTTGTAGACCAGGCTGGCCTCAAACCCACAGGGATCTGCCTGCCTCTGCCTCCCAGAGCGCTGGGATCAAGGATGTACCCCACCATACCCTTCTTGTTACTGACTTCTTTATTCTAGTTTCTGTAGGAAATAAAATAAAACTTTAATTTTTGTGATAGTTTTTGAAGCATTATATAAATTAGTATTCTATCTAGATATATATCACAGAAAGAAAAATAACAGTGGTACAAGTTAACCCCCAGAAATGGACAATATAGACCTGGTGGGGGAGGGGTTCAGGGCCTCCAGGAGACTAGGATTCACCACCCTGTCCCTTCCGGTTCCTGAGAGTCCACGTGGCTGCTAGAGTTCCAGGCATTCAGTCCATGTTCCAAGCCAGCAACCCAAGAAGGCTAATCTTACTCTGTTTTAGCATTCTTCCTAGAAGTCTAGGTTGCTGTTCCTGTATTCTCATTGGTAGTGTAATAGGAATATAATATTTTCTCTCTTAACACTTAAATGCACAATTCAGTGTTTCTGAAAATTATTGAAATTTAATGATTTGAATGACACCTGTAATTTTAAAGTTGGGCGTCAGTGACCGCAATCCAGTTTTTTAACGTTTCCCTAATCTATAAAGGTCTGCCATACCCATTTTCAATAGATTCCCATTACTTTCTGTTTTATAAAGGACCTTCCCTGGAAATACCGTGATATTACAGCTTTATTTCAGAGGCCAGATATTAGTCACATGGTGATTATTGCAAAGGAGCTTGGGAAACATGTAGTTTTAAAAAGTTAAGACCACTTCCACCCCCAGACTGGTTCCATTGCTTCGGTAAATGATGGGTTGCTTATGCCTGTCCCCATCACTGACAGGTGGTGGCAGCCTCTGTTTAGAGTTGAAGAAACTGGCACTCAGCCAGACTACAGAATGAAAGACTGTCCCTACTTAAGCTTTGGACTGAAATTTTTCTTGAATTGAGAAAAGACTATGACTTCTAAAGTTATCAGTTTGGCTTGAGCAGCGGACTCATGGGAGTAGTGAGGGAGCATCATTAACAGTCTTTGTCACATCCATCAGTCCTAGATTCTCAAGCATCAAAACTGCACCTCAGTCTAATTCCCTCAGACCTGACTCTTCTTCATTTTTCATCTGGCCTTACACCCGGCTCAGGCTCCACTTCCTCCAGGAAGTCTTCCCTGATGTCTACTCAGAGCATATCCTAAACTGTATTTTTAGTTTGTCCTCAAGGTCAGGATCATGTTTCCCTGGAGTCTTGTCCAGTCCTGGCCCCAAGATGCTGTCGGAAGATTAGTTAGGAGTGGCCCTGTGCTGGGCCCCTACCTCCATCATCTTTGTCAATCTTACCTGCATACATGTATTTTTCTCCCAGGGCATATCAAGGTGCCCATGAAACTGCTGCTGAAGATCCACACTGAGTTTCTGAACTGGTTTTATTGTCATCTACTTTGCTTCCCCCGCAGGAAGGAAAGGAATATAGAAGAGAAACAGAAGCTTCGTCTCCAATCCATTTCCTCAACTCAAAGCCCCCCGTCTAACTATTCTCTGGACCTGAAAAGCCCCTATGGGATCCAGTATGTTTCTAGTGCCAGGTAAGGTGGAACAAAGCGAGGAGAGGGGACTAGGAATCGGCCACTCCCCAGGGCAGCTCCCTCGGGGGCTGCTGGAGAGACTGGGCAGGCAGAGTTTTATGCGTGGCCACAGCCTCTTTTCAGACGTTTTATTTCCCCATGCTACTTAAAGTGTTGCCACAGTGATATCAAGCTGTCAGGTGACGACGACCCTTCCCTTTACCCTATGCTGAGCGTTAGGAAAATAAATGTGGTACAAACATGACCTCACAGGAGAGTCACATTTCCCTCAGATAGGCATTAGTCACGGTATCCCTGAGCACAGACAAGGGTTGCAGGCTCCTCTAAAATGGTCTGTGGAGATGCAGCTGTAGGTACCCACTGTTAGGACTAAAAACAAAACAAAAACAAACAAACAAACAAAAAACAATGGCAATGCGCACAGCAGATTTTATATGAAAGAGGTTTATTAGATGGAGATGAAGAGAGAGAGGAGAGAGTGAGACATGATAGGGCCTCCCCCCAGCCCCGACAGAGAAAGGGGAGAGGGCAAGAGAAGAAGAGGGCAAGAGCCAAGAGGCAGACAAAATGGCAGGTTGGTTCTTTTAAGGAGCAAAAAAAAAAAAAAAAAAAACCACGCCTGCCAGGTGTGGCTACCTGGCCGTGGACACATGATGACATCATAGGTTGCTAGGCAACCCAGAAGCAGGCTGCCTAAATACTAACACCCTCAGCCCCAGCTGACTGTGCTGGGAGGCAAATACATGAGCAAATTAAATGCCCACACAGCACTGGGGGACCCTGGGAAGATGAAGCAGGAGTCCAGAAGCCAGGTAGGCAGGGTGCCACTGAGTCTGGCAAAGGGGACAACACATAAACATCTGTAATTCTAGTTCAGAAGATCTAAAGCCCTTTTCTAGCCTTGTTGTACCTGATTCGAGAGACCCCAAAAGCCCACTAGGAGTTGAGAAATCACACGAGGATCTTTATTCAAGCTTAAGCTTGGGCGGCCAATCTTCCCTAATGTAGCAGGTTAGAAAGTGAGGCCCTGAGTCTCAGGGAGGCAGAGTTTTTAAAGGGAAGAACGGCAAGCGGGGAACTCCAAGCCTTGGAGTTACAGGGAAGGGTAAGTTTTGGGCAGGGGTTTCAGCAATCGAGATGACCTTTAGGCGACTTGTTCCAAGCCACCTGGCCAAACCAAAACATATCTAAAATATTTGTAGATAGCCTGCCTGCTGGGTGGAGTGGAGGACCCACGAACACACTCTGTGGGGCAGAGGCCTGATGATAGTTATCTATTTACACATTCTGTGGTATCCACGACAACCTGCAGGGTAGAGGGCCATGTGGGTCTTCTCGGAACCCAAAGGTCAAGTCACTCCAAGGTCAGTCAACTTAAGATAGAGTCTGAGAAACAAAATGGAGCCACCCCTGCCATCCTCAGTTCCTTCAGCCTCTAAGAGGGTACCAGGCATGCACGTGCTATGCATATATCATATTGGCCAAACACATTTAAATTGTAAAGATCCTAAAAATAAGAAAATTGAATCGTTATTGAATTAAAGTAAGCTGAAGTAAGGAATAGTAATTTTTCTCTCCTCTCTGTTTTTGTTTATTTATTTATTTTTTTTTTTGTTTTTTTTTTTTTTTTTTTTTAAACAGGGTTTATCTCTGTATAGCCTTGGCTGTCCTGGAACTTGCTCTGTAGAGCAGGCTGGTCTCAAACTCAGAGATCCAGCTGCCTCTGCCTCCAGAGTGTTGGGATAAAAGGCATGCGCCATCAATACCACCACCTGGCTGACACAGTCATCTTTTGTTTTGTTTTGTTTTTAAGACAAGTTTTCTCTGTGTAACCATCCCGGCTGTCCTGAACTCACTTTATAGACCAGGCTGGCCTCGAACTCACAGAGATCCATCTACCTCTGTCTCTGCAGTGCTGGAACTAAAGGAGTGTGCCACCAGGGTCCTGGCTAACATAGTCATCTTTTAAGGGCTGAGCAGAGAGGCAGCAATGGTCTCTGATCACTGAGCTTTTAATGTCAGTCCCCGCAGGCCCTCTTGGTTCTATAGCCCAGAACACAGTGCCTGATGTGAGCAAAATAGGCGCGATAGAAGTGCATTTTCCTCCTCATTCTTAACATTACCGTTTGCGACAGAGTCTTACCATGTATCCCAGAGTAGTTTCAAACTGAAGAGCCTCCTGCCTCAGCCTCCAGAGTGCTAGGTTATAGGTGTGTGCCCCTGTGCCCTGCCCTGGAAGTGCTCCTTAGGTTAAGCACAGTTGGTGGTAGAACAGTGCCTCCTCTGTACCAGGTTCCCAGCTCCCAGCAGCTGCACTTCTTTTTCCCTGGCATATCTGATGTCAGGCTGCTGTGGCTGCTTCCTTACTTTCCCAAGCCCTTTCACTGAGTCATTAATAGATTTGTGATTAACTCAACACCATTGTTAAAGCACAACTGTGTTTGTTTGTCTTTCCCTAGAACACTTTTATCTTAAGAGCCAAGCCTAGCTGTCTATTTTAATTTTCATATCTTCTTGATTTTTTTTTTCCTCTTATATATTTACCACAGTTCATCCCCACATTCTTCCTTGGTTGAATACATGTCCTTCTAGGACACTCAGATCCTCCATGTCATCTGCCATTTGCTGGCCTTTTGACCTGCTTCTCTCAGGTGCTTGATTCTAGCCTGTTGATGTCTTGGTCATATGAGGTTCCCACCATTTCTTTGTCTTCTCATTCCTTCACAGCGAGCCCGGCACCAGTAGGTCCAGATCCTCACAGGACGAGGTGCTCTTCAGGCTCTCACCATCCTCCATGGAATGAGCTCACCCAAGAACAGGCGTGGACTGCAGGGGTGATCAAAAACAGAATCAGCAATGGCAAGTGAGAGCACTACTGCAGCCAGGAACAGGCGGTGTCTTTCTCAGCCCACGGGATAAGGAACATTAAAGTTCACATCTGCCACAAACCATGCAGGGCTTAAAGACACCCTGGGTCACCTCACCCATTTAGACATTTCCTAATTCATTCTTTCATTCATTTATTAACAATAACAACACAATACAGCCCATCCTTATGAAACATAGCAAGACCTTATCTCAAAGAACAACCAACCAGGAAGCATTAGAAAGGAGCTGAGCGGCTGAGTGTAGTGGCCCATGTCTTTAGTCCCAGCACTAAGGAGGCAGAGGCAGGTGGATCCTTTAAGTACAAGGCCAGTCTCTTCCACAGACAGAGTTCCAGGATAGCCAGGGCTACACAGAGAAACTCTCTAAAAAAAAACAAAAAACAAAACAAAACCCCATCTGACTTCAAACTGACTGAACTGAAGGTGAATTTCATGTTTCACACAGCCTGCTAAGGACTAGGAGAGATGGCTTGAAAGGGGGGGGGCGGGTGGAGAGAATGACACGATGCCCCGGGAAGCTTGTAGGGGTGTCTTCACTGTCCTGAGGGTAATGAGAGGTCTACAGTCTTATACTATGCCTTAAAGGCATGGATGTTCTTGTGTTAACTACACCACAGGCTGTTTCCAAAATGCATGTGTTATCTGAGCACGATGGTGGATGCCAGTAATCACCGCACTCAGGAGGTGGGACAAGGACGATCAGGAGTTCAAGGCCAGCCTCCTGCACATTATTTGTAAGAAAAAAAGCTTTTTTATTTAGACAAAAAGGGAAAGGTGTTAGGGGTTGGTCTGGTGCTATGTATTCTTACGCTAATTACTGGCCACCTGTCTCTGTTGTGTAAACCTTGCTCTGCCTAATTTAAAGTTGATTGGTTAATAAAAATGCTGAAGCCTGTGACTGGGCAGAAGAGAAGTAGGCTTATGCTACTGGGCTTGGGGTCTGAGATGGACTGAAGGAGAGGAAGCAGAAGATGTAGCAGGAGGAGGGGAAGCCACAGAGAAGGAAGTCGTTGTGGGTCAGTGTGGCTGTGAGGACCGACTGATGGAGCAGGAGCAGCCCAGACAGGAATGATTTAGGCGAGTAACACGGGGTGTGTAACTGGGAAATAGCTTAGAGGGTTGCCATCTGCCCAGCTCTCGTGCTTTAAAGCTTATAAAATAAATCATAGTCTCTCTGTGTCAATTATTTTGGAAGTTAGCAGGGTTAAAGAAAAACTTGCTTTATTAATTTCTACAACAGCAAGTTCAAGGCTAACTTTGGCTCTGCCTCAAAACAAACAAAAATAAATTATAAATACTTATTTCCAAATTCTACCCAAATAACCTAGAAATAGAAACTGACAATAACCCAGGGCACCCTGTCACAGTGCCAGGCAAGTGCTCTACGACTGAACCCCTACCCCCACCCCCACTCCCACCCCCACTCCCACCCCAGCCTGCAACTGTGGCCTGAGATAGTGTTTGCACTAAAAGGGCTCATATGAACACAGCAGGCCTGCATGCAGGGAGCACATAGACTTGAGCAAGCTGTGAGTCTGGGGCAGTGTCCATGGGAGCTGTGACAGATCCTGTCTCACTGTGTCTGTTTGAAACCCACTAATCCAAGAAAAGCACGTGTCGAAGTCCCCAGCTCCAGCAGGGGCTGTATGCATGCTTTTCATCCTGCTTCCTCCCCAGAGCCTCAGGCTGCCTCGGAACCACAGCGGCTCCAGAAGAAGCCTTGGCGGGTCCGGGTACGTCTCCCAGCGTGTGTGGCAGGCCAGCCCTCAACCAGCTTCCTGCCCAAGGAAGGGTTATACCATACAGGGCAGGGACAGCTATGCTTGCTTCCCAGTGGCCTTCCTGATCCTCACAGGGCTCCGTGCAGATCACCCTCTGTCTTCAGCTTCCCAGTGGGACTCTAGTTCTTGAGGGAAGGTGCCTGCCTTTCTCTCAGTATCTAGCAGGGAGCTGAACTGTCTGACGAATGCTGAGGCCGTTTCTGCTCACAGGTTTGCCTCTGCGTGTGAACTTAGAAGGCTTTCTCCTCTGGAAATGTGAACAAGTGAGCAAGTCCAAAACATATCATGTGTCACTTATATGTATATATTTAATATATTATATACCTATTAAAATATTTTTATAGAGAGCTGGGCGTGATGATGCACACCTTTAATCTCAGCAATCAGGAGGCAGGGGCAGGCGGATCTTTGTGAGTGCAAGGCCAGCCTGGTCTATAAAGAGAGTTCCGGGGGGGCTGGAGAGATGGCTCAGTGGTTAAGAGCACTGTCCGTTCTTTTCTTCCAAAGGACCCAGGTTCAACTCCCAGCACCCACATGGCAGCTCACAACTGTCTGTACCTTCAGTTCCAGGTGATCTGACACCCTCACACCAATGCACATAAAATAAAGTTAAATAAATTGTATATTAAAAGAAAATTTCAAAAAAAAAAAAAAGAGAGAGAGAGAGAGAGTTCCAGGACAGCCAGGGCTTCTATAGAGAGAAACTCTGTCTCAGAAAACCTAAAACAAACAGAAAACATGCCATAGAATTTATTCATACATTTTATTAAAATATATGTGATACACACAAACTTATTTGGGGCTTGTTCATCTATTGTCTATATTAAGTTAGATATTAACACATCGTAAATTTATTGACATGTTTTTGGTTTAAATGTTTTTGTTTGAAGTACTAGATACAGAACCTAGGCCTCTCAGGGTCTTGCTACATTTTCTGCCCCACCCCCTCTTTTTAAAAACTTTTATTATGTGTAACATGTTCTGCCCGCATGTGTGCCCGCAGGCCAGAAGAGGGCACCAGAGCTCACTATAGGTGGTTGTGAGCCACCATGTGGGTGCTGGGAATTGAACTCAGGACCCCTGGGAGGGCAGCCAGTACTCTTAACCCCTGAGCCATCTCTCCAGCCCATCTGGGCCACCCTGGAGCTTGTGAGTCACTTGCTTTAGTCACTGGGCCCAGCTGCCTCTATTTTTATTAGGGTTTGGGGTAGAGCAGCAGAAGCGTGTTTGAACCTAGATCTTTGCATTTCTTTAAATCTTGCCTGTCTTTGTCTGAAGTGTGTCATCCCTGATGGGGGTTGCTTGCTCTCCCAGAGCTGTGAAACAGTGGATTTCTTTTCCGGGAATGGGAGCTGGTACCACTAAACGTTCCCAGGGCCCTTGGATTCCGTTCAAGGTCCCTGAAACTGTGCTCACCCTGAACACTAACTGCTCTTTTGGAAATCTACCCTAAGGCAAAAAAAAAAAAAAAAGAGAAGGAAAGGCATGAGGAATATGCTTCATTTGTCATCTTTGAAAAGGGGGTTGGGGCTTGTTGATGACAGACATTCTATGGAAGGCTGAGCAGCCATTTAAAGCTATGTGGGAGGCTGGAGAGTCCAAAAGTAGGACTAGGGGTGTGGCCGAGTGGCAGAGTGCTTCTCAAGAGTATGTCTTTTTTGGGTTTTGTTAATGTTTTCAGTAAAGACCAATTGTTTCTATTTTGATTTTAGTTTCTAAAACTTGGATGATTTTTCCCCCCCTTTGTTTCATTTCCTCCCCTTAAAACGGTAGGAAGCCTTTAGATTCATGGATATGCACGTGTCATAGAGTTTGTCAGAATGTCTCCTCAAAGTAATAAGCATAGTATTTAAAATCGGGCACGAGATGAGGGGAAGCAGAACAAGAGCAGAAGACGGGCCTGGAGACAGAGCTTGCAGCCCGAGGACAGGCTTTCCCTGTCCGCTGTCCCTGCTACTGAAGCCTGGCTTCATACACTGGCCTTTGTCCTCCCATCATCCTGCCAAACACTCAGGGACTCAGCCTAAATGCCATGTGTCCCCTCCCCAACCCTAACCAAATCAGGTGCCCGTGGGTATTCCATTCCCACCCTGTCTGCCTCTGTTTGTTTCTTTTCTTTTTTTTAAAGACAGGGTTTCTCTGTGTAGCCTTGGCTGTCTCGGACTCGCTTTGTAGACCAGGCTGGCCTCGAACTCACAGAGATCTGCCTGCCTCTGCCTTCCTGAGTGTGGGGATTAAAGGCCTGTACCACCATGCCTGGCTTCTTTCTATTATTTTTAAGGTTTTTATTTTTGTTTGTATGTATGTGTCTATGTGCATGTGTGGGCATCAGATCTCCTGGAGTTGGAGTTTAAGACAGTTGTGGGTTACCTAATGCGGGTACTGGGAACTGAACTCAAGTCCTCCTGAAAAATAGCAAGTACTGTTAGCTTGTATGTACTCTCGCAAAAGGAGAATAGCAGGGACCTCAGGTTAAGAATTTTCCCAGCTGTGCGCAGACAGCAGGCGTGTGTGTGGCCCAGCACAGGCTGTGTGTGTCTTACTCTCTTTTACCTGTTCGGCGATGCTGCGGATCAGTCTAAAGGTCCCAAGCTTTATAGTCAAGCACCCTTCCACCGAGCTGCTTCATCATTGGCTAGTCAAATCTGGTCTGCACGCAAAGTAACAGCATCAGGGACATTGTGCCGAGACATAATACAACAAACATTCGTATATAAAAAAGCAAAACTCCACGGAAGTGAACTGTGGGTTTTCTCCTTGGTTTGGACAACAGGTATTTTATACATAAGTCATGGTAGCGTTTGCGTTTACATGTGCCGAGATGCATGGAAAACTCAAAGCGCTACTCCAGCTCCACAGAAGTCATTCTCAGGATGGTGGCGTGACAGGAGGATGTGCGTGATGCGTGTGGAAGACACACAACAACCCTCACTTCTAGGAGAAAAGAAGTGCTGTGTTTTATGAAAAACACAAGGCTGCCACTTCCATTTTCGATGTAAAGCACTCGCTTGTCGGTCAGATAGCAAGGATCTGACCAGGAGCTACAGAAAGCTCCCTGTATCGGGGAAGGTTACCACAGACTCTGAGGCAGGAACTCACAAGCCAGTTAACCAGAATACAGTGACATCAAATAC